TTTTCTTATAGACCAATACTAAACCCCTTGCTTTTTGATTTCCCAACATATATTTAAGAGGCAGACACATAGTTGATATGCCCCACTCAATCACAGCATAGTGACACAGCATAAGAGAATACTGTACTCTGGGTTGAGTCCTACGACGTCTCAGTTACAGATAGTTTTAGCATGTCATTATATTAACTCTTCTTGAACATACATTTCCAATCTCTGTAACTCTATGCAAGGCTACACCAACTGAGAAAGCAAAACGGCACTCCACCCAATACAGAAAATCCCAGCCAAGGTGCATTCTACTCAAGAGCAGTCAAATTAGTCCAACTGCACAGGCAACTCCTCCTAGGCTAAAGATATAAGAACAACTCAATTTTTCCTTGTCCCTGGTGAAAACAGGTGTCTCAAAAGAGCCACCCTGTTGAAAAAAAACAGTCAACTGCTGAAGGATTTTTTGCTCCTATAAGAGAAGATATGCTCTTTTTTCATCAAAAGCAACATTAGCAAAAAAACAAACAAACCAAAAAAACCTTCTACAAGGCTTTTCACCAAAAAATCTTATTATGTGTAAAAAGAATCTTATTTACACAGCAAAAAGCATTTTTTTCACAAAAGCTTTTTAAAGGATCATTTTATTCTGTACCTTACTTGTGTTTTCAACGTTGGTCTTCTTGTGTGTTTTAATATATTTGTTTAATTTTTTCAAATATTGTAATAATTTATAATTTGGTCTTTAACTTTGTTTCTTTTAATACTGTAAGCTACCTTTAGGGGAAAGGCAGCATATAAAGATTTTAAATAAATACATAAAGTCAGGATTTTTACAGAAAATAAAAGGTTTTGGTGGAAAGCACATAGTGTTTGCAGAATGACACTTCCACAAATTTCTCTTTAAAAAACAGATTGTCTCATTTCTTCTTTAGAGGTTACAAAATAAGCAAAGATTTACACCCCCATACTAAGCGGTAAATAAATACATTAAAGATAAAGGTAAAGGTTCCCCTTGATATTTAGTCCAGTCATGTCCGACTCTACGTCTCCAAGCCGTAGAGCTAGCATTTGTCCGAAGACAGTTTCCATGGTCACGTGGCCAGTGTGTCTAGACACGGAATGCCGTTACCTTCCCACCGAGGGGGTCCCTATTTATCTACTCGCATTTGCATGTTTTCGAACTGCTAGGTTGGCAAGAGCTGGGACAAGCAACAGGAGCTCACTCCGTCACGTGGATTCGATTTTACGACTGCTGGTCTTCTGACCTTGCAGCACAGAGGCTTCTGCGGTTTAAAAGCAAAGCAAAGCAAAGCGTGCTGCTTATATACCGCCCCATAGCGCTTCAAGCACTCTCTGGGTGGTTTACAAGTTAATTATGGAGGCTACACATTGCCCCCCCCCCCAGCGAGCTGGGTACTCATTTTACCGACCTCGGAAGGATAGAAGGCTGAGTCAATCTTGAGCCGGCTACCTGGGATTGAACTCCAGGTCGTGAGCATAGTTTTAGCTGTAGTACAGCAGTTTAACCACTGCGCCACAAGGCTCTCATCTTAACCTGCAGTGCCATCACATCCCTTTAAAATAAATGTGTTACTAATACATAAAATCACTATTTCCTTTACTTTCCTAACAGTCAAAATCATCTGTCTCGTGCAGCCATAGAACTTATGTCTATACAGGGGAGATCGGAACCCTGAGTGGAAACCTCAAGAACAGAAGGCACCATGTAGATCTCCTCCTCCTTCACCCCAGCAGGGAGATATGACTAAACAACAGAATCAGCTTTTGTCAGATCTACACAGCTTGATCATCAGACACATGGCTGACCTCCCACACTTTAGCAACCTATACACTGACTAACATGTGCAAAGGACTAAACAGCATGAACATAAAGATGTGGTGAAAACTGTGGGCAGGACAGAATATATATCCTAAGCACTGTTCCACTGAAAGAGGACTGACTCCTCTTGGCCAGAATTGTTCTACTTTTATGCTCCCACATAGTAAAACTAAATTAAACACACCAAACACTGTTGTTCTGAAAGCTGAAGGGTTTTCTGTGGGAATCCTGTCTGAGGGGGAGGGCTTTGATGTGGAGAATGTCCCATCCTTCACTCAATCTGTTGTTGTCAGGAAGGTGGCTTGTTTGTTTTTTTTTTTGGTCACCCAGGAAAGTAAGATAGATGGAACATTGTACTGAGGGCACAACAATCAAACTATATCAATATTATGTCTGCAATAAAGATGAGAGTAGTCCTAGACACAGATGGCTAAAGTATGGGGAGGAGACTGTGCATGAAGACACCTTCTGCCTCATTCAAAGGACACCAAAGTTCTGCCCCTTCACCTCTGTTTTGAACATGTGAAAGCCACAGTCTGATGCAGGAGAGGCTGTTCTCTGCACAAGTAGCCTCTCCATGAGCCAGAATCCCAATTCTCTCCCTCACTCCCTGCTTTGGCTTACAAAGAAAGGCTACATGGATGGAGCACCACTATCCCTTTGCAGACTGTCACTATTGCATACTGAAAGCAATGATGGAAGGAATCGTGTGGCTCAATATGCTTTTAGATTGTGTGAACATGCATAGAGTCACATAGCTAGAAAAGGGTGCATTTTCACAAACCTACTAGAGTTCAAAGACATCGAAACAGATGGTGAATACAGAAGAATGTTTTAAAGGTACAAAAAGGTAAATAACTTGCATTCAGTGATTCTCGTCTTGTGCAACAATTAGTATTATACAAGATTACACACTTTTACTTGGCTGTGAATTAAATAACCTGGAAGGTCTCACCTGACCTAATGGCCACAAATGTAGAAGGGAAGGATCCTCTTAACATCCATATACAGATATTCACAGACTGCCAAAACCATGCACCACTGCATCTCTATTAACTACAGATTTGGAGATCAAGATTAGACGTCTCTGGTCTTCTCTCCAGTGCCTGTCCGTGGCTTTGGCACGATCGAGCTGCAGAGAGATCACTCCCCCGCCCGCGCTCCCACTCACACATGTACGGGGTGACCCACCCATCCGCACATGCACATGAGCGCACCCCACCCACTCACGCATGTGTGAGCGAAGGTCCCGGCCATCCACAAGCACGCCCCACCCACTCCCAAGCACTGGGGAGTGCCCCCCCTAGGCATAGACCACATACACCCAACTGGTTCGTGGTACAGAAAAGGTTGGGGACCACTGTTCTAGATGGCTGGTACTTTAAAACTAGCAATTTATTACCACTGGCCATGATAGTTCGAGCTGAGGAGAGGAGTAGGTCAACTTATCTGGAAGGGCACATATTATCCAGCCCTTTTAGACCTCTGTTAACCTAAATCCCTTCTAAAGGGTCTAAGCTTGTGCCCACCACCGCATTTTGAACCAGTGAAGTCCATTAAATAAATTTATACTTTGTGAAGAAAAGCCTTGTATTGTGTGCTGTGAATCAGCTACCAATCACTGAGTAGCCATAAGTTCCATTTTTTGAGGAGACAAATGTCAAGGACTTGGTAACAGAATTGGAAATGCTGGGAGAGGAAAAGTACGTAGAAAATACCTCATAGGAGCCCTGATAGTTTGTTAAAACAAAGAAGAACAAAGAGTCTTGGGTCACTATAAGACCTAGCAGATTTCAACTGATGGCAACTTTCATGCCCTGCATCCCAATTCATCAGATGCATTCACAAATTTATGTTACATGCCATCAAGTTGGAACCAACTTACAGTGACCCTAATAGGGCTTTCAAGGTAAATTAGATATTTAAGGAGTGATTTGACCAGTTACATCTCCCTATGTGTTTCCATGGCTGAGCAGAGATTCGAACCCAGGCCTCCTGAGTTCTAGTCCATCACTCTGTTTACTGCACCACACTGGGTATCCCACATTCACAAAAACATATACCAATCAGACATATAGGCCAGGATGTCTCTCCAAAGTAGTGAACAGGATCTGAGTTACGTGTACAAGTGCTGCTTTTCCATGAAGAAAACATGCCCTTCACTTGTGCAATGTCAGTGCCTACACAGGTGGCTTGATCCCATATAACAATGCTGCCATGACCTTCTACTCAGGAAACTTAATATTAGCCATAGCCTTTAAAGCACTGCAAGGCTGTGTTGTTTTTTACAAAAAAAAAAATAAAAAACATTCATTTTAGAGAAAAAGTTGCCTAAAAATTCATACAAATGTGTAAGGAAAATGGAAAAGAATATCACAGCCAGAGACAGAACTGGACGGGACAAGAACACTAGGGGGATTTAGAGAAATAGAGTCAGAAAGAGCTTAACAGATTTTCACATCCCTCGAAGAGAATGGGTCATGTCACAGAGGAATCCTTGGCAATACCGCAACTGCTAAGTCATTCTTCAATCCTGTTTCTAGTGTGTGATTTCAAGCAATGCCACTTGTGTAGCATTTTTTTTATTCCTCTGAAAGAAAACAGTTAGGCCCACTGAGATTCCAGTTTCATGTCTTTTTTGCTGGGCTTCCTCCAGCACAGCCAAGCTTACACAGAGATGCCACATTTATGTAAAATCTAATTTCTCTTTCCCCCCCCAGTGACCCACTTACAGAATACCAGTTACAAACCTATCCAGGAATATCTGGCTGGTACATATTGCCTTAAAATGGGATCCTGCACAGCTTGCATGACAGCACCCACAGAGAGCACTGCTCAAAAAGATGCGTCTGAAACAGGCTAAGGCAGCTCAGGGTATTTCCTTCCACGAAAAGCTAAGAGGTTGGAAAGTAATATTCTAATAACACGGAAAGAGAATAAGATCCTCAGTGACAACAGTTTGTTTGTTTTTTTAAAAAAAGCAAAATTAAAGAAACCCCAGCACCTTCATTGGGACAACAAATTATACAGCTCCTGAATGGAAGATGCACTTTGGTTATGCAATCTCTTCCAGACTAAAAAGATCACCTGAATATTGTTCAATTGTTTGGCACTCACTCCTTTGCCTGTCTCTCCCTATAGGGCGCTTATTATCAGAAATGTAAGCAATTACCGAGACTACTTCATCCTCTGCCGGTACGGTGGCTGCGGAGAGGGCGGCTGCTAGTGCAGCTGCCCTGGCTGCCTTCCTCATTGCTCTCTGAGTCTGAAGATTGGTAAAGTAGTTGACAGCTGCAAACTCGATAAGTGCAGAGAAGACAAAGGCAAAGCACACAGCGATGAACCAATCCATGGCCGTAGCATAAGACACCTTGGGCAAAGAGTGGCGGGCGCTGATGCTCAGCGTGGTCATGGTCAAGACGGTAGTGATGCCTAGAGAAAAGGAGGATGGAAGGGGACACATTAAGCTACTTCTGAAGATATCACCCCTTTTCAGACTTGCAAGCTCAAAGAACTAGTTTTAAAATATCCTCAATCATTTTTAAGAGTCATTTTGGGTGATATTACTGATTGTATCCTACCTGGAGATCTGCTGATAACCAGGCAGGTCAGAAATATTTTACTAAATGAATAAGAATACCCATGTTAGCCTCTTTTTGCACAAGTACCATGTGTTCTTTCAGTCAATTCATCAATTGACATCCACAGCTGCCTATTTAATGGGAAGGAAGCCCAATTACTTTCAATACATACTTCTACAGAAGCATATTTAAGAGCACATTCTGAATATTTTGCTGAGGGAAATCTCACAATCCAATTGACTTCTACTTTCTGAACTACAGGAAGTAAACTGTAGCACTCTGATGAGGACATGCTAAAGCATTTTTACCAGGGAATGAACACTTTTTGTTGACTGCTCAGCAACTCACGAAGCCCATTTAGCCTTACTTCAAACTAGAGGTGGATGAGTCTCTCTCTCCCCCCCCGCCCCGGTTGACCCCCAACCTCTCAATGTTCTCTTTTTGAAAGTTGGAATACACAGAAATGTATAGAAATATATTTTTCTAAACAATTTTGCCCAACATACACTTTTTGCAGCAAATTTCAATAATACTATGCATTTCAAATATAATTTTCATAGCATATACATTTTGTGTCCACATTGACTTATGAAAATGTTTTGCTTGGAGAAAAACATGACAATATTTGAAGAACTGTAGATTTTCACAGGTAATTTTGGTTCCTATTACAATTCAATAGTAAAAAGGTAGGTAAATTCCTATTGCAATGCAAACTGAATCAGGGTGGATTTGATTTAAATTCAACTGATTTAAATCACAAATGATTTTTTTTAAATCAGATTTTTTGACAATTTAAATCAAAACAATCGTTAAAAAAATAAACCATGATTTAAATAAATTTAATTTTTAAAAAATCATTGATTGTTATCAATCCTGAACTGAACAAATCTCTCCCACCTCTCTGCCTAGAAGCAGCTCTGGTTGATTTAATGGGGTTTATGCCCTATAAGGCACTACAATCTTGCTAACATAGAAACCCTAGACACATGCTCTGTCTTGCAAAACAACACTATTCTCTGGCACAACACAACAGTAGATTCAACATACTCCATGAATGGACAAATGGACAAACTGGGGGTCATGAGTTAAAACAAAAACACATGAATACCGGCCACAGTTCTTGCTGGAACCGATTCTTTGTTGATCCAAAATGCGACCTGAGATAGTATTACAGTCATAATGCATGGGATGTATGTCTGAATGAGATAGTAGCCTATTTTCCTTTGTAGATGGAAATAGAGCACCTGAAGTGAATATTCACCTAAAAGAAACACACAAACAATGAACAGTGATGGACAAAGGGAATGATACAGTGTGGTGTTGGATGGAGACTGTGACTCCTGCATACCAAAAACTGTTCTAGCTGGAACAGACTCCTTATTAATCCAGAAAGACACCTGAGAAAGGATGACAGTCATGATGCAAGGAGTATATATCTGTATCATGAAGTAGCCCATCTTCCTTTGTAAGTGGAAATAAACAGTCATTATTACGTATTCACCTGTTAGGAAACAAGTATATCAGCATTACCATCGTCCCTGTTTTCTTTGGAACATTGCAAATAAACAGACAGACAGAACTGGATATATTGAAAATTGGAAAAAGCTTGATTTTGTAACCTGGATGGAATGGTACAAAGTGGGTGCATTTACATATTCTGCCCTCTTCTCGTTTTCCCCTCACCTCTTTATCTCACATTACTCAATTTGCTTTTCTTAAGCCATTAGGGGGTTGCGCTAGGCAATGTAATACACTCCGATCCTGCTAACATGGAAATTCTCTTCAACTACACTTCTTTTTTCTCACATTTCAGGAGGCACTCCCACAGTTTCACACAGTTTCAAGCATAAATACAGCCATATGGACTAAAATCTTTTCTTAAAAGGGGAGGAGGTGAATAGCTTGGGAAGCTGAAATTCTATGCCCAACTGTCATCCTACATTTTCTCCTCTGTCCCTGACCTAGTAAATATGTGATTTTATTAATTCAGTTTTATAAGCAGCCTTACAGTATCTACAAACTTTAAAGACAAAGGCTGAGCTGACAGGATCCATAATGCATCAGCCCTCTTGACTGTGCTTTTTTGCTCAGCCAGCAGGACAAAAGTAAAGGGAGTGGGCCTAAAATTCAGAGGAATGAGCCCAGCAACATTTCCCCCTCATTTTCCACTCTGAAAGTGGCTGTGACATGACAGAAGCTGTAGGAATGGAAAATCGGTCTTGGAGACAACATAAGTGAAACATTTTCATCAGATTTAAGGCTCGCCATTTTGGCAAAATATGGTCAGAAGCTTAACTGAGCTGGTTCCTTCAATGCTCACTTTCTAACACTGGCTCTACGAGTGAAGCAATGAGCTTACCTGTGTTGGATTTTATTGTTTCACTAGAGACTGTTTGCCCTATCAAATCATACTGGAGAAGACTAGAAGATTCTTGTGGGATTTCTACTGAATACAACGGTCCTTTTTTCCAGGTGTAAATAATCTCACTTTTAGGATAGGCATCTGAGACAAGGAGAGAAATAGAGAGGAGGAAAAAAGAGAGAAGCATTTATCATGTGTTTATTGCACTAAAAGCTCACTGCAAATATCTGCAGCAGTTCTCTGCTTTGTTAGATGCAGCTGGAACACACAGAGTGTATGATCTCTGCTCTGTATGCTTTTCTTTTCACATACTGTTCCTCTGCTTTACAGATCAATGATGCCCACTGGATCAGTTCCCTCTAGTTCAGAACAGTGTCAGAATATGTATACACCAGAACACAGAGAGAGTTCTGACTCCTGTCCTCTGAAGATGCCAGCCACAGAGACTGGCGAAACTTTAGGAAGAACAACCTCCAGAACATGGCCAAACAGCCTGAAAAACCCACAACAGCCAGTCTCAGAATAGTTCAGATTCTACAGCTTCCATTTCAGACTGGAGTGTCTGAATATTCACTCCAGCGAGCTCCACTGAACTTGATGGAAGTGTTCTTTGAGTGAACATGGGTAAGACTGCATGTTCAATTTTATTATACATTCTGTCATCAGCTTAACACAGTTACTGTTCTGCAAGTTTCAAAATAGATGAAATTTTAAGATTAATTATACTACCATTCCAGCATCATGCCACCAACTTTTTTAAAAAAGCAAACCTTCATTTGTAGCTATCCCAAAAGGCTTGATTGTAACAGAAAAAAAAGTTATTGGTTATGCCATGGTGAAGCGACAATATTATGTACTATTTTTTTCTTCCAAGTTGCTGATATGATTGTGGCTGGATGGGAGGAGGTCTGGCATCCTTCACACAAGCCTTCTCCTGGGTTTTTAAGCCTCATTTTAATAAATCTCCATCATTACACACTAGTAAGTTAGAAGTTTCATGTCCCTTCAGTAGAGCTGGGAACCACAGAAGGCAATTCCGACAGATCTGACTAGGTTAGATGTTGTAAGTCTTCCCGCTATAGGACTATGGAAACATGTATATCTTGGAAATTTTACTTTTTGGACAACTTCAAAAAAAAAACTTCCAAAAAACACCAGGCTACAAGACCTCCAGCTGTACAGCCTGGGGATTATGGGAGCCTTACAAGTAAAAAAAAAAATTCTGAAGCTTTACAGATGTGCAACCTAGATTTCAATTCAATCAGGATGCTTTAGTTTTCATGGCACTTGGCCAAGGATCCCTGAAGCAAGAGTGAAAGTTGTTTTCACATCCCCACGCAAATTCTGTAAGACAGCTATTTTAAGTTTCAGACCTAAAACATGACATCTTGCTTCCCAAACCGACAATTCCAGGATTCAATACAAGCCTTTTTAAGTAACTTGAGGGCAAGGTAGCTGGGCAAACATCTGTCTCAGCATTACTTTGTCTTTCGGCAGCAAACTTTCTGATAAATATTTGAAAACGAAGAACAGCATGCCCACTTCCTCTTTCTGCACTGATTTGGCTGGACAACCCCTTCTCTCGGAGAAAGTATACCAATTCAACAAGAAACACAACACAAAACAAAAAAGCGGTCTACAGGGCTACCTCTGGAAAGTGTCTGCAAACTTCAGCAAGTCCAAAACGCAGCAGCCAGATTGTTGACTAGGGATGGTCAAAGGGATCACATAACCCCCCTTTACAGCAACTCCACTGGCTGCCAAACCCTTTCTGGAGACAATTCAAAGTGCTGGTTTTAATCTATAAAGTCCTAAATGGCTTGGGCCTGAGCTATCTGAAGGGCCACATATCCCATTATGTGCCTGCTTGGGTGTTAAGATCATCCTGAGAGGCCTTTCTGTAAGTTCCATCACCTTCAGAGTAATACTTGGTGGGGATATACGAGAAAGGGCCTTCTCTATCCCTGCTCTGGAACTCCTCCATCTCTCGCCCCATCTCTGCTATCCTTCCACAAGCAGGTGACTGACTGAATTTTTTTTAAATGGACCATTGTGCCTTACAGCTTTTAACGTTTATTTGTTGTTGCTCTTGTTTACCGTTTTTAGTGTGGCATTTGTTTGACCCTTTTTATTAAAAGCTTATTAAAGCTTTATTAAAAGCTTATTGCTTTTAGCTTTAATTATTTTTTAATGATGTAATTTGTCTTGGATCCTTTTTAAGGGGAAAGCAGGGTAAAATATTTTGAAATAAATAAATAAGAAATACAGAAAAGAAAAAAAGATGTGGAATCTTAAAGACTAACTGCTATATTTTAATGCAAGCTTACATGGAACATGTCCACTTCATCAGACATATGTAAGTGTCAGAACAGAGACTACATGGTAACACATTCATGTAAGGACGTAAGATAAAGAGACAGAGGTTTTTTGGCTGCATTTTACACATAGTAATTATTTATGTCATGTAAGATAAAGAGACAGAGGTTTTTTGGCTGCATTTTACACATAGTAATTATTTATGTCCCATGTTTATATTCAGTCCTTTTGAAGTTTAGTTCTGTAAACAGAAACAATGATTAAAGGAAACAACAGTTTTCAAAAGAAATGAATACCATACAGGAGTCCTAAAACATCACTAGGCATGAAATGCAGCCAAACACCACTATCCCTTTATCTTACAACCTTACATGAATGTTTTATATGTAGTCTCTGTATTCTCTCATGTCTTACTAGCACAGCTACAACTTCAAAAACTACAACTATTATTCAAACTAGTACTGTTACTAAAGATTACAGGACTGTACTATAATTAAAATTGTAAGCCGCCCGGAGAGTGCTTGTAGCGCTATGGGGCGGTATATAAATCCAATAAATAAATAAATAAATAAATAAATGCAGCCAAACACCACTATCCCTTTATCTTACAACCTTACATGAATGTTTTATATGTAGTCTCTGTATTCTCTTATGTCTTACTAACACAGCTACAACTTCAAAAACTACAACTATTATTCAAACTAGTACTGTTACTAAAGATTACAGGACTGTACCAAAGTGATTTTGGCAATAAATATTTGGACACCATGCAAATGTGCAGGACTAGCTGTAACTTTGGATGGAGCAACCATTTAACATTTACATAGGAATAAGAATGTCATGAAAGCCTGACCTTACACATATTTTATCCTTTCCAATTAAAATCAGCATTCAGCACAAGACTAACAGAGTAAATTTCAGGATAGGCAAAAATAAGGCTATTAGGTTAACAATAATATGGCTTTCCACCAATAATTCTCAGTCTTATCTTCACAAAGAATTTGCAACACCATGGTCTGTCTGACTGGGCACTAATCCAAATGCCTTTCCTAGACTCCCTTAAAAAGGAATAATAAACAGGAGTATATTTGCCCTAGTGACAACTAATGGCTTAGAACTAACTACCTAAACCAATACCATAATCAGTTTAACATTTCCAGACTGCTAAAATGTTATTTACATGAGTTCAGAATTTCTTAGGAAACCAACTGCACTAATAATGTTATGCCTAGAGCCATTTGCGCAACATAGGATACCTATAGAAAGAGATTATCTCCCCTATGAGTTACAAACGTATTTTGTGGTTGATGGCTATTTGGATGTTTGACCTTTGACAAAATGATTCTTTTGATATAGACAAATAAATAGTCCCAGTAACAAAGTTGTAAGAACAAATTACAAATCAACGTGCATGCTTTTCTCACACGGCAAAGAGAAACAAATTCAATATATGTATTAAGAAGACAATTGTCAGTCATAAGTAGACATTCAAAATCTAATCTGTAAAGAACAACAACAAAAACAAATGTGGTTATTCTCAACATTTGTTTTTCCAGATGTTTTGTTCTTCAACATCCTTACTCTGACTATTGCCAATACTCTCTAGGGATTCTTGAACTCAAGAACATCTGGAGAAACAAATACTGGGAACCACTGCCAGTGTGGATTTGAGTTAAATCAAACTGATTTAAATTTTAAACATCATTTTTTGACAATTTAAAATTTAAAAATTTATTTTTTAAATTTGATTTTAAATCTTTTTTTAAAAAAATAATTGAATCTATCCACCCTGACCACTGCCATTCTATATGACATAGAAAAGAACTCTCTATGAAAACATTATACTATTAAATAAAGAGCAAAAGTATCAGTTATTGTCATAAATAGCTTAATTTGTTTATAAATATTTTTCAGTTCTCAATAACACAATCTTTTAAATAAAGATTTCACATAGACTTCAAAGATAATCTACAATCACTGTACAGATAATGGCTTTGCCGTTCACCAAAACTAATTTTACAAATTTCTGGTATCAATAAGACAGAGCTATACTAGAGGACTGTGGCTGATACTATTCATACAATTTGCCATTGACAAGCCACATGTGATCCACTACTATGCTTTCCTGTATTATGTAAAACTTATTTTATCACAGGTTTGCATAAACCAATACTGCATGAATTAGCTTAGCTAGATTTCTGTATGAAAAAAAGAAAAAGGCCAAGAGATACTGTCTATCTTCCTAATAAAGCTGGCTGCCTGTCAAAACCAAATCTCAAACAGGAAAAAAGTAATTATCAGTATGTGGTGAGCTATTCAACAAACTCTCAAACAGTCCAACAATACATTTTTGAACTTGTGAATCTAACGTTAAATTGAATTATGAAGTGATGTTCTTAAAACTCAAAACTTTCTACAATCAGAAATATGTCTGTTCTTTTCACTTTCACCAGTTATTTCCATAGATAGTCACTGCTCATTCCTGTAGTATACTGGCACTACTTCAAACGACACACTGGCTGCAATCTAGTAGCAAGAGACAACTAGATAGGCCTACTGAATTAATGGGGATTTGCTGGATCCTCTATATGTTCTATTGATTCAAATGGGTCTACTCTACCTGCAACTTACTATGCTAATATACACTGCAGTTAAGAATAGGCCCATTTGAATCAATGGAACTTACAGAGGACTTGACTCACCAAATCCCCAATGATTCAAGGGGCCTACACTTGTGCGATTTACTACATTAAACAACAAGATTTTGGCTAATGAAACTTATGGAGCTGACCCACCCAATCCCCAGTGATTCAATGGGCCTATTCTAATGAAACTTATAGAGCTGACCCACCCAATCCCCAGTGGTTCAATAGGCCTATTCTAGTTGTGACTTACTACTGCATTTCAGGCATTATATCTTGAGACCCCTTGCTTTCACGTTAAAGCTTTGCTTCTATAGAAAGTCACAAACTATTTTGCAGACTTACAGCTCCCGAACTTTAGTGGACAAGCATGACCATCCATAGGAAAGTTCACCAGACGCATTGGACAATCAGCATTAATAGTAAGTCTAAAAAAGAAAAAAAGTGAAATTGAGCAGAGCCAAATTTTTGCTAAAGGGGTTAAAATATGTAAGGGGGAAAAGCCAGAATGCATGCTTACCTCATTGTATACAGAATAGTACCATTCTGCATTATCCTGAAAAGTCTGTTAGGAGTTGTCATATTATGAGCAATTGACTTTTTTCCATTCCTGAAAAAGGTGTCTGGTGTCCATATTTTACTGACCATTAAATTGTTCAATCTCAGAATTTCGGTGGGTCCACCAAATTTCAATCGCTCATCTATCCACGTTTGCCGAAAGAAAACATCCATAGTATATTCCTACAGAAAAACAAATCAGTTGAAGGCTGGGGCACAAGTCCTTATAGGGAATATTTTCCTTTTTCCTGGTGTTTCATGGGCCTCATTCCCTCAAAAGAAATCAGCTGGGGCAGAGCTTGGAATGTTATTCTTTACAATAACTCCCAGAATCACCTACCCAGCATGGCTATCACACTACAGTAGCTGAAAGATGTGAGCTGTAGGTCCCCACTCACTCACTCACTCACTCACTCATTCACATACACACACACACACACCCCTCCTCAAAAACAATAATTTTCCCATGCTCTGCCCAGTTGTCAGATGTGATCCAAACCCAGCAGTAGATAGAACTATTCTTTTTATTTCTTTCAGCTACCATTTTTTCTCTGCTATGTATTTCTCCCTTCACTCCTTTTCTTACTCACCCATCATACAAGGAGGAGGTGCTCATTCTTACCAGAGATCTACTAGTTGTAGAGGACTTGTGAAACTAGTCAGAGAACAGCCCGAAATTAGGCCAAGGGCCACAAATGGTCATAGGGCATCAGGCTGTCCACTCTTGGTTTAAAGGATCAATACTGTATATGGTTTCTCGGGGAAAAGCTAATAAGCACATGTTAACCTCACTTGATTATTGCTTAACCACTTTAATCTTATTATCCTTAAGTAGTTACTAAAAAGAAGCCAGACTATGAAGTTTATATATTTTTTCCTATTCTTCTCAATGAACAAGTGGGTTAAGTGTGATGACTAAAATGCAGACCTTATCTGCACTCATAAAACAGAATGTTAATGCCCAATGTCAGTGTCTTAGAATGGATGTGAGGTTAATGTAAAGGTAGGTTTTTGGCAGAGGTTTATATTTAATGAGGTTATGGTCTGGTAAAACTTTTCCTGGTGTGAGAGTCAAGGGAGTGGGTGGGAAGAAACAGAGTGCATTCTTATTGAATCATTTCAAAATGATGCATGAGAAGATGAAGCAACTTCAGAGGACAGACTAAAGAAAAAAGGGTATCCCAAGACATTTTGCTGCCAGAAGCAGAGACATAACAACCCCTGCCTCTAAATCCCTTCTACTTAAAAAAAATCTTGCTGACTCATGCAGACACCAATTCCTTTCTCCATTTAAATTGCCTTCCCCAGCGTTCCTTACAGTAGGTCTCTTGACCTCGAAGAGGGAGGACTTGGTGAGAGGCACCTGTGGGAGCAGGAGTGGGATGATCCGAGTATGTCTCGTATCTCTGCCCCCCTTTTTTAAATTGATGCACATCACCAAGAATTATAAGAACAATACAGCAACATTATCACTGGAAGCTTCTAGCTCAGCACTGCCTAAGCATGTCATAGCACCATAGTGCCTACCTAAACCCAGGGCTACCCAATCCTTGTTGTCTCCCGTACATGGTCCAACGTGGCTTACCCAGAACATGTTCTCAGTGACTATCATTATATCCACAGGCTGTGTGTGTTTCTTCAGGCACAATGAGTTCATATAGGTAGTCTAGGCAACATTTTATCGATTGTTTCTGGACTTCCCATCTTCCCTATTTCAGTGTGGCCACATTTCACTTTCATTTGTGAAGATGGAAGAAACTGGAGGCAGACAAAATACTGTAAAGCACTCCAGACTTTATTAGACTTCAACTCCCATCAGTCTTAGTCAGCACAGCTTATGATGAGGGGTTTGTAGTGCAATCATATCTGGACAGTTGCAAAAGCCCATCTGTATCTTAAACTATAGTTTAAAGCAACAAATGGTACAAAAGTCGTGGTTTATTGAAACATATTCCCTAAACTACTGGCAAGAAAAACCATTTAGGTTTGGATGTAAGGATAAATTGTGATGAATCGAAAACAAAAGTGAAAGTTTCCAGCCCTTACATCAAAGCTATCACAGAGGTGGGGGAAGCGGGGAGCTCAAAGTTGAGACTGCTCAATTTCAGGCTTCACATTAAACCACAGTTTACTGGTATGTCCAAATGAAATACCATGGGTCCCATTTGATAGGCTAGGTAAAGATTTTAGGTGAATACACTGGCTACAAAAAGCTTCATTTCCCTCTTTTAATCCGTGCTTCCTGCCCCCCATGGCCTTCCTGATGTTTATAGCATTACACTAAAAAGAAAAGAGAAGGAACAGATGCCGTTTATATTTGTGAGATTACACTCCATCTTTCAAATCCTTTCTGAGCGCATTACCGTGCATTTTGCAAGAATTTTTCAAAATCCTTTGTAGGTAAAATGGCTTCTGTGGACAAAGAAACCATACCCTCAAACTCCTTTTCTCACCAGCCCCCATGCTCAATCTTTATCCCCTGTATCTACTCTAAAGCAAGACATGCTGATTGCAGTGAAGGTTGCTTTCAATAGAACAATAATACATAATAATAAAGTGAACAACTGTAGCCTAATCCTCATTGCTTTTGGTAAGAAGTACAAGCACAACTGTTGATAACAGTAGGGACAAGAGGAAAGAAACTTCTAATTAGAAATGTAGTCTGTCTTCCCGAATGAAATGTGTCCTAACCACGGGGAGAAGGGTGAGCATTTTGCGCTCCCTGGGCAAAACACATACACACTGATGATTCAACCTCAGGGTCCATAAAGAAGCGCCTGTTGCCATCTGCTCAGGCCCTGAGCAGAGAGAACACTCTGCCTCCTTTGACGTACATTTGGCCAAGTTTACTTCCCAGCTCTGAGCTCTGCTGTGTAATTCTCTGCACTGTAAAGCACAGGCCTGCTTTGCCTGCAATCTTCTTAAAGCGCTGATGCCCTCTTAACCAACAAACCCGCCTTCCTGCCCAGTAAGGAAAAAAAAAGGGGGGGCCCACGCTTTTGCATTGCATTGGAAATACAAAAGCGCTTGAAAACTCCTCTTCCTTCCCAACGAACTGCGCACCCTGGAAAGGAGAGGAGAGCGTCCCAGCCCAGCCTCGCCGGGCCATTTCGTTCGGGCAAAAACAGCTTCTCCGGCTGCCGCCCAACAGCGAACGACATCGCCGGGGCCCCTGCGAGGGAGAGATTGTCAAGAAGATTAAAGCGAGTAATCTGCTCTAATGACAGTCCACTCAGATGCCACCGTAATGAATCCTAGAAAAGAGGGGCAGGGGAGGCTCCCTTGCAACTGAGGCGCTGAGGAGGAGCCGGGTGGGGAGAGAAGGGGAATGATTTCCCCCACCCCGGGGGGGGGACTCTTCTGGGGGCCGCGCCTGCCTGGGCCTTACCATTTCCACGTCTGACACGGGGCCAAAACTGGTCACATAGATGTCTGTCTTGACTTCCGTCACGGTGCCTGAGAAACGTGGCGAAGGGGGGGGTGCAGAGGGATCGGCCGATTGCGCACCAGCATGAGAAGCGAAAGGAAGAAAAAAAAATTCAATACAGGTCGTTATTCCCGCGTGTCTCCCCCGCCGTCGAGGAGAAGCGTCGCCCTCCGAGCGGGGCAAACAACTTGCTCGCACCTTGTTTGCAAAGCGGGTTTTTTTTGGGGGGGGGGGTCTGCTCAATGACTCCAGCGCTGGGAGACGAGCAGGTCAGGAGGGGAAGCGCCCTGGCAAAGCCCTTCTTCTTAGGACGGCCCGGCGGAGGAGATCGAAACCAGTGACATCTGCCTTCGGGGCAGCCTTCCACCCCCACCCCCCAGCTGAGCACAAGGGCTCAGAGCCCCAACCAAACCCTTCACTTTGGGGAGCCTGGTTGCCACCCTGTACCCTTTCACTTGGGAGCAGCTGCCCATGAAGGCAGTGGGAGACCAACATGACGTTGCATATGGTACCTGGCGTTTTCGTCTTTCCACCCCAAGCCAGAGAAAAGAAAAAGAAAGAAAAACCCCCACTATTAGTCCCGGCCAGAAACTTATGTGAAAATCGGGGGTGGTTTTTTTTTTTTTTTGGGGGGGGGGAGGTTCAGGTCAACAAGCGAGGTCAAATTCTGCCCTGACTTTCCAAGGGATCAGAGGCGGGCGAGCGTTAAAAAAAAGAGAGAGGCAAGTTTAAGCACCTGGCACGCCTTTGCCGCCAAAGCCCGGCCGGAGCCGGTTGTCGTAGCCGTCCAGGAGCTTGTCGAGGATTCGGGAGATGTTCTCCGAGTAGAGGTCGCTCTCGTTGGGGGTGGTCTCGTCCGCCAACAGCGCCTTCTCCAGGCTGCCGAGAACAAGCAAAAGAGCGCCCTCGCCGTCACCTTGCGCTCTCTCTCTCCCGCCACGAAGGGCTCCTTCTCCCGTCGAGCGCCACACGCGCGCCCCGGCCCTTCTCGCCTCCCGCGCCCCGGCCCGCCTCGGCCGGAAAAAGAGGGCGAGCAAGCCGTGCCCTCCCTCCATCCACAGAACCGTGGCCGCGGTTGAAGGTCTCACTTACCACAGCATGAGGCAAATCCACGAGAGCCCCCAAGCCATGCCGGCCGCCCCAGCCTGCAGCGCGCCCGCCGGGTCAACTGGAGCAAACCTCCCAAGAGCCCATCTTGTTTCCTCCCTGAAGAGAGTTGTTTCCTCCCCCCTCAGCTCTCGGGCTACTGCGAGGAGCCGACCTGCATGCCGGAGGCTCTGAGGGGAAGGAGGGAGGGCCGATGGGCAGATGGCCTTGGGACGGCCGCCCGCCCTCTCCCTGGGCAGCCCTCACCAGTACCACCACCTGCCTGGGCCTCCTCTTCCCTTTGGCCGTGTGTGCGAGTGTGTGTGTGTAAATGTCGCTGTTCTCCCCCCCCCCGACACCGTCCCTCGTCCAGCCTCCTCTGAGTGCTTCAGTTGGGGGAATTACAGTTTGAAGGGACGGTGGTGGCTCGGTCGGACAGCAGTGACAATAATCGAATAAGGCATTAGAGGAGATTAAAAGGAAGAAATCCACTGCTAGTTTTGGCATGGAATTAGCAGGGACCCGTTAGGAAATCTGGGAAAGCGCTGGCATCTTGCTGATAGAGATTACGTTAGAAATG